TTTCTTTCTTTCTTTCTTTCTTTCTTTCTTTCTTTCTTTCTTTCTTTTCGTCACTAAAACAATAAATACAAAGCAAGCTATAAACATGTTATTGGTCCAAGCAGTTTGGGGCAAAAAGAGCCCAATATTTCTTCAAGATTTGCATAATTCAGTATTTGCCCCTTACTATTTCAAAGAGTAGGCTAGACGTGTTGCTCAAATGGAGAAGAATCATGCCTAAGAAAATAACAAGAGAGGTTGTTTATAAATAGGTTTTGGCAGTATTGTTGATGTTAACTTTTCATTCTGGAAACCAAAGTTTAAAAACAGGCATATTTGAAACATTCCTAAGGAACCCTAATGAAAGAAAAGAACATTTGTATTCACCACACTAACTTTATTGCAAATATGTATGTTCATTAGGAAGATTCAAACTTTAAAAAAATACCAATTATGAGAAAAAATTATCTAGGAGTATGCAGGTGTGACTTAGCAGTAAACACTTACTATGAAGGAGCAAGGCCCTGGGTTTACTTTCAGCAACTGATAGCATTAAAAGAACTTGGTAATACTAAGTAACGCATCTAACATTACAGACTGTGTCTTCATTCACAAAAGAAAGCAGTGATTATTTAAGAATTGTCTCCAGACCAGTAGGATAGCTCTGGGGATAAGAGCAGTTGCAGGGTAAGTCTGGCTGCCTGAATTCCACCCAGAGGAACCCATGGTTGAAGGGAAAAGTAGACTCCGGAAAACTGTTTGCTAACCTGCACACACACACACACACACACACACACACACACACACACACACACAGATGTAGACACACAGATATGTACACACACACATACACACATTATACACATACAAACACAAATACAAACATACAGGTACACATACAGACACACAGACAGACAGATGCACACACACAAATAAAAACAAAGTCCTTGAAAGAAAAGTTTGAAAAAAATTCAGTAAGCGACCATCACATATACAGTGTAAAATATCAAATCTGAGTGAGTAGCACCATTACCATATTCAATATTCACCATTATTTTTCTGTGATGAGGACACTAAAAAAAAAATCTCCTCTCTAGCTATTTTGAAATACATAGTATTGTAGCTATAGTCCCTATGCTGTACTTTATTTATTTCTACGGTTTGTAGTTTTGTCTTAAACTCTTCCAACCTCGCCTACTGCATTTTCCAGTCCCTGACGACTACCATTCCACTTCATCCATTTTTGAAATCAACTTTTTTTGGGTATCCTACAAACAAGTGATATGAGGTGGCATTTTTCTTTCTGTGCCTGGCTTATTTCGCTTAATGGCCTCCTGTTTCATCTGCACCCCTGCAAATGACAGGATTTCATCATTTTTATGGCTGGAGGGTATTGCATCGTGTATAGATAGCACATTTGCTCTATGTAGTCATAAGTTAATGAGCCCTTGAGCTTTGCCCATATTAAGCAAAATGAAGGAGTGAGTGCAAAAGTCTGCTCAAGATATAGCCTGCATTTTTTTTGAGGGTATGTATACCCAGGAGTGAGAAAGCTGGATTACTTTCTTACACTTTCAGCTTTGTGGAACCTCCACTTTCTCCAACAATGCCTGTGCTGACTTATAGTTGAGCATTTAGGCGAGACAAAACCATGTATTTGTTGCTCTAAGGCAGTGGTTCTCAACTTTCCTAGTGCTGCAACCCGTTAACACAGTTCCTTAGGTTGTGGTGACCCTTCCCCACCAACCATAACATGATTGTTGTTGCTACTTCATACCTGTAATTTTGCTACTGCTGTGAATCATAGCATAAATATCTGCGTTGTCCAATGGTCTTATTTGACCTCAGAGGAAGGATCATTTGACCCCTAAAGGGGCTGTGACCCAGAGGTTAAGAACCACTGACAAAAGATTTACAAGCTAGGAGACCTAAAGATGTTGATATTTTCTTAAAATGTGATGGAGCCTGGTATCCTTCTGTAAGTCATTTAGTATTGTTTTATGACTATATTTTAATGTAAGTCAACAGTAAGCCAGCAGAACACACACACACACACACACACACACACATTCAGCAAGACTGTATCTTGCATTAAGAAAGAAAATATTGGAATACCTCATTTTTCTATTTTTGTGTCGGTTGTACATTTGATTGTTATTGAAAATTCTTGGGGCTTTCTTTTCTGTGTGATTTGTACATAGGAGCTTGAGGTTTCATTTGACTCTTAGATAAGTTCTTATTCTACACTCTTCTCCATAAATGTCTAAATGTTGTGTGTCAATCAAAATAAAACAATAATTCACATATGCCCATTTGTTCCCAGCCCTGATCTGAAAGGTTAGGGTCCTTGACCCTGCCTCCTGCCAAGTGTTCTGCCCAACACTTTGGAATGTGAACTCGCTTGAGCTAGTTAGTACTTGCTTAGCATAATTTCACTGGTCGCTTGTCTCTCTAAGGTAGTCAGGGTATATTAAAATAGTCTAAAAATAAAATCGCAATCAGTCAACCATACAGCCACCTTCCAAGGGGGAGGAAAACAGCTCCTTCTCCCAAGGGCCTGAGAAAGATCAGCTTACAAGGCTCCAGCATTGCCTAGGATCCTTCGTCCTTCATCTTGACACAGCCCAGGCCTCTGGGACGGACGTTTCACATCAGCCTACAGCCAAGGCTGCTCTCCCATGCAGTACAATGTACTCGGTTCTTCTACCCTGGCTTCTGATTGGGAGCCTGGCTGTTGGATAATGACCTTCAGGACCCTCGCACCCTTACAGTTCTTTTTTGTACAATCTTTTCTGCAATTTAAGGTCCCTGCAAGAGAGGATTGAGGAAAAGTGAAAGACTTGGCACTCTCATCCCCAGGTACCTGCAACAGAGGCCAATAGCATCAGAGACCAATAGCATCAAAAGCCAGTAACATTCCAGCTGGGCTGGCATCTGCCCATGCGTCCCTTCCCGACAGGCTGCTTGCTGCCATGAAGGATCTTCTTCAGTACTCCGCCTGCTTCTTCGCCCTTTTCTCCACCGGGTTTCTCATCGCGGCTACCTGGACGGACTGTTGGATGGTGAACGCTGATGACTCTCTGGAGGTAAGAAGCCAACGACCTAGATTTTGATCAAAAATGTCTGTCAGCCTTATTGCTAAACATAGACTTCAGGATGTCTCTCGGGATTAATGAAAGCGAGGATAGCCAGCAAGGTGAACTGATCTTTACTGAAAATTAGCACTGTCAGCTTTTTTAATCCTGACACTCATCTATGAGGTAAGCACTGTTGTCCCATTTCACAGATGAGGTAACTAAATAATCCATCTATTTTTCTAAGGATACATTTTCACATAGTGCCTGCCACAGAATCCTCCAGAAATTCACCCTTCCTTTTCTATGTATGAAGCAAAGTATGGGTATCTTTCTTTCTAAGATAAGTGTTTCAACCTTGATTGTCAGAATTAAGAGCCCTGTGAGAGACATTCTAAAGCTGATTTTTCTCAGGCGTTGAAAAAGTGAACTCTGAGAAAGACTTTCTAAAAGACAGCTAGTAACCTCAGGCCTTTGGAAAAGTGAACTCAAGACATGTAAAATCTACTTCGCTGGTGTAGCACAGAGACAGACGTGTACTTTAAGCAGGGAAAAACACTCAGTAAAAATGTCTTCCCATTGTACCTCAGTGTTCAGGAACAGGCATGGACTTAAGAAAGTAACTCCTAAAAATGATTATCCTGCAAGACTGTCGCCCACGAGTGAGATGGCTGGGTGAACTTACACTTGAGAATTTTACTTTTCTCACTGATTTTTTTCAAGTCGAAGTTTGAAAGGTTTTGCTGTGGTAATAATAGAGATGTGAGCGATGCAAAGCTGAACAAAATTCAAATTTTCCAAATTAACTGCTTTACCTAAGTAAGACTGAGAAAAATGCAAGCCAGATAAACATTATAAAGTGAGGGAACTCAGAAGAATGAAGGGTAAGCTTACCTTTTCTTTTCTGTACATCCTGGAAAACGGTCCACACATACTAATGGTGTAGAATCATGTCAATAAAGATTTTAAAAGATCTGAGGGGGGGGAATCTTATATATTTTTATTCTAATTCTGTTTACAAACTCTCAAGTTGGAGTTAAAAATGAAATTCACAATTTTTATTTCTTTTGTTGTGGAATCTTTCCCATTTTTACTTTTCTTGTGCTTAAATTTCCCCTTATTTCTACATGACATTTCAAAACCAATAGAGTAATAATTACCTCCTTAACACTGAGAGTATATATTTCTAAAAAGTGTTATAAAACGGAAGTCCTCTGGGTTGTCTGCTATGCAGTGAATCCGGCAAGGAAGTTCATCTGAGTGGTAATGAAGAAAATAAATAAATAAATTAATTAATTAAAAAAAACAGTGCCCTTTGGACAGTCCTCAGGGAAAAGCGTGGATCAAACACCATGAAGCTATTAGCTTCTCATGATCCAGGCTGCCAGTCATAAGTGATCAATAGAAAAACAGTTTGCACTTGAGCACCCTTTAAATTGAGTTTTTAAAAATGTTCTTAAAATATGTAAGATCCCATCCAAACTCATTGGTTAAACATTTTCTAAAAGAGTTTGAAAGTCTTTTTTGCTTCTAGTGAGAGTTGTTAACCTTCTGTTAAGAAACAGAGTTTTAAGAAGAGCCAGACTGGCTAAGAAGAAGACAGGAACCCCAGCATTGAAGCACCATCTTCCTTTTATTTTAGTTTGATGATCAATTTGTCATCTACATTTTACAAGAACATAGCCAGTTTAAGTGAGTGAAATGAGTAGTCCAAATTATTCACTTTAAAGAAATTCTTCCTATCCTTGGACAAATTGATATTTCTTTTTTTAAATTTTTTGTTCATTTTCAATACATCCCAACTACTTGCCCTCTTTCCACTCCTCCTAGTCCCCCACCACCCTCTCCCCCATATCCACTGCTCTTCAACTTTCCTTCAGAAGAGTACAGGCCTCTTTGGAATAGCAACCAAACACAGCTTAACATGATGCAATGAGACTAGGCACAAAACTCTCATACTAAGGCTGGATCCTATGTATGGAGGAAAAGGGTCCTAAGAGCAGGCAAGAGAGTCAGAGACACCCCTATTCCCATTGTTGGGAGTTCAACAAAAACACCAAGCTAAACAACCACAGCATGTACGGAGAAGACCAAATTCAGTCCCATCAGGCTCTGTGATTGGCTCTTGCTTCTGTTTCTGTGAGCCTCATGAGCCCTGCTTAGTTGATTCTATAGGCTTTGTTCTCCTGCTATCTCCTCAACCCCTCTGCCTCCTACAACCCTTCCTCCCTCATCACAGGTTCCCTGAGCTCCAAGCGAGGAGACTCAGTGGAGCTCTCCATTTGGGCTCTCCTTGATTCTCTGCTTTTGAAATGTCTTTTCTATTTTCTCTCAGTGAAATGTGTTCTCCAAAGATCCTGCATGTGGAAACTATCCTGTAAGTATTATCTCCGCTCCTCCCCCTGCATTCTCTGTTCACAATCACTATCAATATATTTAAAGGGACATAAGTATCTCCTAATAGTTTCTTTAATTGGTCAGGATAAAATTTATTTTGAAATAGGTTTAAGGTTCTCATAATCACTGGACCACTGAGGCTGTTCTCCCTCATTTAAAAATTACCACTGGTCCATGCTGGCATTTCAATTTCTTTATAAACAATTGTTGTAAGTTTAGTGCAATAAAAATATGAAAATAAAAACATTTGGAGAGGTAGAAGAAATATTCTGACTCACAGCTTTGTTAATACAAGCATGTTGCTTGGAAAATTGGTTCTTTGGTTCAGTTCAACTTGGTAAATACATAAAATGTAGGTCACGAAGAAGCACTGTGCCTATGATACCAAAAGAGAAAAAGCTAAAGCAGTAATGCATCTTGCCTTTCAGGAGGAGACACTGAATGCATAAAGAATAAAGATGAGTATGAACTATAACAAATGACACAGATCAGTTCATATATGAGGAGCAAATGAGCAGAATAACGCTGGAGCAGAGATGATAAAGCTGTCCATCCCCATTAGGCATATTGAAATAGTTGCCGTGAAAGAAAGGGCTTTCAAGCTAAGGCTCCTAATGATGCGATTTCAAAGGGTAGAAATGGCAGCAAGGGCTTTGGATGACAGAACAGTGTGGCAAAAAATACAGAATGAGGAAAATCTCTGGGTTTGTAAATGGATATAATTCAAAGCAAGAGGGAGAAAGAATTCAGATATTCAAGCATTTCACTTTCTTTGAACGACTGTTGGGAAAAAGCAAGTGCAATCAAAATATGTAAATAAAAGCATTCTTTGGTTTTACTTCTGTACACCTGCTGTGAAGGATAAAATTCTTTGTATTTAGTAAAAATACTTTTAAAGAAGAAAGAACTAGCCCCCAGGAAAAGCACTGGGCATGACCCAGCACAACAGGCTAAGCGGCACTCCTCTCCTCAACTTCCTTCAGTCCGTTGTTCCTGCGGAGAACTGCTGAAGAGGATGGTTTGAAAGTCTTTCAGGCCAGTGGTGACTCAGCTTTTAGCCCATAGTAACCACCTTCTCTTGGGAAAATCACATTCTTTGTCTTCAGTTCTCCTTCCTCAAAATCGAAGATGGAGTTGAATTCAATTGTACTTTTGTTAGCCTTTTTTCTTTAACATCTGGATTCCCTGACTGTCTGCAACCCCTGAACAATGGCTAGTTATTAAGGGATCAAAGATGGTCAGAGCTTTCCCAGGGGGAAAAACTTCCAATGGGAGTTCAATGTGAATAATCTTTAGCTTCACTCTTGCTCTGTATATTCATTTTCTTATTCCTACTTTCCTACCTTGCTGTCCTCAATCTAGCCTCCATCTCTCTATACTTCTCTCTTCCTCCCTCCTTCCTCCCTTCCTTGTCACCTTACCTCCTTTCCTTCCTTGTTTTCATTTTCTCTTTCATCCTCTTTCCTCTTTATGTTCTTCCCATTTCCTCTTGCCCCACAAATATCCTTTAGCACCCACAGTATGGCTATCCCTGTAGTGGATTCCTGCTTATGTGGGTTGTACACTCTGAAGCTTCTATAGATGATTCTCAGTGTAGTGAGAGGCAAAAATTTGTGAGCACATAGCCACAGTTCAGCATGCCAAGCGCTTGGGCTGAGTATGAGCAACCATGAGTGAACATTTTACTCTGTCTTGGATAATCAGTGGAGTCTTCTTAGTAGTTACATCTAAACTAGGAGTTGAAAAGCAAGTGAATGGACAGAAGTAGAAAGTGTTCTAACCAAGCAAATGGAATGCACAGAGATATAGGTGTGGTTGTGTTGTATGTCTGTGATATTATACATATTTTCTGATGTAGGTAGGGAATTACAGGGGCTAGGTAATCAAAGGCTTAAAGTATTATGCAAAATATAGGTCCAAAACCATAGGCAAGAGTGCCTAACTGTAGACAAATACACACATGCCTTTTAGTAGTATCAGCCTTTCTGGCTGCTCATGGTGGGTGGCTCAAGGGGGTAAAATGAGCAATGGAGAGGACATTCGCATATACCAGGAAGAAAACAATAGTTGTGTAAATGATAATGGTAGTAAACATAGGAAGGTGTGGAAAGATGTGGGAAACTCTAACTTAGACAGATGTGATTGGTGATTGACTGCCTGAGCACAGGAAGGTAATGGGGGTGGGGGGTGGGGAGAAAAGCCAAGTTTGAAATCTGCCTTACTGACTTGAGGTGGTTAGGGGATCACTCATCCAGTGCTCAAATGGAGATAGGAATTTCTATACTGAAGTCACGGAGCAAGCTCCCTAGAACAGCATCGGTTTTGTTCCAGGCTCAGCTTAGCATGGGGGCAGAAACAGTTCTTCGGGGGAAATCTTCCACAATACAAGGCCAATGATAACTCAGATGACTTAGCCTCTTGTGAGGATTCAATGAGCCCGCATACACAAAGTATTTACCACAAAACCAGGTAAACATGAATCAGTCAATAAATGTCAGATATATAACGATTAATTCATAGTTCATTGTTTTGTGTTGTTCTGGGGGGAGGAGATGACATTTTGTATAATGTTCACCAAACTGCGAGATTGAAGAATGAAATTCTGCTCTCATTTC